GCCTGGGTAGCTGGGCTCTGCTCCCGCAGGCTGGGGACAGAGGGCGCCCCTCTCAGGCAGAGGCCACCGCGCTCGGGGAGCGGCGTTGACGTTGAACCCTCTGGGGCCCCCCGAGGCTCTGCTGCCATTCTGCCCAGAGGACAAGTGGACCCTTGTGCTCGGAACCACAGCCTCCGTTTCCCTTCCGGGACCGTCCACGTGGCGGGCACCTCTACGGGAGCATTTCCACAGCGCCCAGGACCCTGCCCCAGCCCAGCCGAGGCGAGCGGCCGTACACGGGCTCCGATCCTCAGGCCGCGGAACTCAAGTTTATTAAACAGGTGCAACCAGTACGATAAAACTTAAGTCTCGCATTGGTGGGTGCGAGGCCAGCGTATTTTAAGAAAAGATAATACTGAAAAATGGCAGTTAAGGCTCTGAAAGCATAGCGTACAAAACATCTTAACTAAGAAACCATCAAAATGGGGAGAAAATTCCCAGCCTCTCCCCGCCCCTGAAACAAGAAAGGGCCTTCTGCCGGGCCGTGGCACCCCGAGGCGCCAGAGCGGCACCCCGGGTGCTGCCCCAACTCCGAGGCGCCCACGGGCTCGCAGGCAGCCCCGTCCCCTGAGCAGACGGCAGCTCGGCGGCACCCAGGGTGCAGATGTCGGAGGGGTGCCTCTGCGCAGTCGGGAACTGGTGCAGGCGGACGTCGTCTCCCGTGAATGACCGCGGGGCTCGGATCACCCTACTCCCCTCAGCGAGCGCAAGGGGGAGAAACCGCCACCGTGCCTGCGGGCCGCGCGGCCTGCCGCAGCGACCCCGGGAAGCCCCGGGCCTGCTTCTCGGCCCTCACCGCCCACGGACCCAGCTTCAAGTCAACGGAGTCATTAGCTCGCTTGGAGTGCGCACGGAAGCCCTCTGCCTGGCTTGTAAACAGTGGTTTCTCGGTGGCCGTGGCTGCTGGGCCACCAGGAGCAGAATCAGTGCAGACGGGTCCCGCCGCGTCTCACCCCCAGCTGGAACGCACCACGAGGTCAGGGCTGGCCCACCACTCCCTCCTTCCTTTTTCGGGAATGTAACTGGTTTCCTTTTGGCCCCTGAGTCTGTTGTTGTTTTTTTAATGCCTTGGCCAACACCCAGAGCGAGCGCCAGGTACTCGTGTCTCAGGGACATCGAGGTGACGCCGGGATCACATTTACCGGGCGGAATGCCAGTCGAACGCTTCCCGCCGAGATGCCAGGGCCGCGCCCTTGACCCAAGTCTGCGCTGACGCGCGTTCATTCACAATTTCAGAAAGCGAGAACTGGGAGGAAATGTGGCCACCAATTCAGTTCCTTCATTTTACAGGAGAGAAAACTGAGACCCTGAGAGTGCCTGGGGCGCGCAGTCCAGTGCGCTGACCCCTGACGTGTGGCTGTGGCCCGTCGCGGGGCCGCGTGAGGTCACGATGGTTTGGCTTCAAGGTCTGTTGCCCCAGGATGCCCTGAGTTGTGAGAAGTGGAGAGACTGGCACTTTTTTATAGGTGGTTGAGAACCTAGGAGAACGTGTACCATACCCAGAATGTAAAGGAACGGCAGCAGGGAGAAAGCCAGGCTCTCTTCTGTGAGTGCAGAACAGACTAGGGAGAAAAGCAAAGCAGAAACTGGCGGCCCTGCTTCCCCTCGCTCTGACCGGGTCGTAGTCCGAGGAGGGCGGGCAGTGCCTGGGGACGTCCCCTTTAGGGGCCTGGAGGCCTGAGACGGACAGTTCCCATCCACCGCCCCGGCATGGAGAGGGCGTCGGCAGACTCAGCTCCCACCTCCCGTGACCAGCGATCACCACCTGGTGCGAAGTGTGGGACACACGTGTCCCGAGGCAGCGGTCACGGGCGCCAGCCGTGGGCGGAGCGGGTGCCGAGGAAGCAGCGGCCCTATCTCGCCTGCCGGCCCCGCTTCAGCTCGGCCGCCGTCTTCCACACGGAGACACAGTTGGACAGCAATATCTCCTCCGGAAACTGAGACTCCACCTCGGCCAGAATGTCACTGTCCTTGGTCTCCATGTAACTCACCAGAGTGTCCCTCAGGCTGAAAGACCAAGGAACAGGAGACGGCACTTAGAACGGTCTTCGAGACAAACTACGGACGCCCACCCACGGACGCCTCTCCGAGCCACCAATAGAACCAAAGCGCTCCTACGGCCAGAAACGCTGAAGGTCAGCTACAGGCCGCCCACGGCTGAGGAAGTGCGCCAGGGCCAGAGCCCGGCTCAGGGTTGCGTGGCACCTGCCACTTCCCCCACTGTACCTGCGCTGAGCACGCCCTGCGGGATGGACGGGGCCCGCCCGGTGGAGGCCCGTGTAGTAGTGTGACGTGCTGTCTAGAAACACAGCCTGGCCCAGCCGGCGTGGCTCAGTGGTTGAGCATCAACCATATGAACCTGGAGGTCACTGGTTCGATTCTCGGTCAGGGCACATGCCCAGGCTATGGGTTCGACCCCCGATCGGGGCACGTACAGGAGGCAGCCGATTGACGTTTCTCTCTCACATCAATGTTTCTCTCTCTCTCTATCTAAAAATTCAATAAAGATATCCTCAGGTGAGAATAAAAAAAAATCCAAAGCCCTAAGTGTACACAGGCACGTGCCACACAGCGCAACGGAGGGAAAGCAGCGGCTGGGCGGTGCCCCGGCGAGGGGGCTGGGGTTTGCCTTCTGTTTAGAAAACCAGCCAAGTTAAATCCCTACCTCACACCACACATCACAGCAAACCGGTTAACCAAACACATGCACAACGTAAAACCCCAGAAGCAGGAGGAGACGACGCGTGGGCTTCTCCACGCGCATCGGGAGGATCGGGGGGACCCCGACCCCGCTATGTCTCCACAGAGGCTCTATGAGAAAGTCCTGTCAGCTTTGGCTTCATAAAATTAAACACCGAGACCGAGCATTTGTAACAAGACTGATAAAAGGTTAATCTTTTAAGATTAAGAAAAAGATAAACAGCCCCCCCAAAGGATACCAAGAGGTAACCCAGAGGAAGACGGACATACAAACGGCCAATGAGCGGAAAAATACCTCCTGTCTCATAGTGAATATCCAGTGTGAGGGTTTCACACTGTGCATGCGGGGGAGGGGGGCTTTTTCTATGGATTTTCAAATGAACACCTCTGCGCGGCCGGTGTGCTCAGCTTGAGCTCCATCCCATGAACTAAGAGGTCACGGGTGTGATTCCCGGCCGTGGCCCATGCCCGGGTTGCGGCTCGATCCCCGGGGGGGCGCGCAGGAGGCAGCCGATCCATGACTCTCCTCGTTGATGTTTCTCCCCCTCTCCCTCTCCCTTCCTCTCTCTGAAATCAATAAAAACGTATTGTAAAAAACGAGCACCTCTGACTCAGCAAGTCCGCCTGTTATAATGAGAATGTGAGTTTTGTAATTATTTAAAAAGATCCAAAGAGACGGACACCCCCACAGCCAGTCCTCGGGTGCCCTGGCAACGGTAACTGCAGGGAAGACAGGAGCGGTTTCCACGCCCGCGGAGCCTCGCGGCGGCACCTCCAGCGCATGAGCCCTACCTCCAGTTGGGGTTGAAGGTCTCCTCGGCCTGGGGGCTCTTCAGTTTCAAGACCATCATCTCGTGAAGCTCCAGGAGGAAGGCGTCCAGGCTGCTGTGGTTCAGGAACGAGCTCAGGAGCTTACTGTTTTCTGGGCTGAGCTCCTCTCCATACTTGGCTTTGAGCTCCCTGAAGGGCTCCTGCAGCGACGGGAGGAGAGAGGGAAGGGAGGCCCAGGCAGTGAGTGCGGCCCCGCAGCCCAGCCCGCAGCCCAGCCCGCAGCCCAGCCCGCAGCCCAGTGCAGGGCAGGAGGTGGGACTCACTTTCCTCAGGCGCAGCTGCTGCTCTGACTTGTGGGCCGAGAGGAGCAGCCAGAGGGCCGTGATGTGCCTGAGCTGACACCTGTGCAGGGCCTGCGGGAGGAGGAGGGTCCTTAACGCCGGTGTTCCTGCCCCGAGCCCATCCCAGCTCCCTCGGGGGCAGCAGGAAGGCCACCCTGCCCCGGCACCAAGTCCCCGCCTCTCTGAAAAGCTCCCGAGGGCAGCATCTGGGAGCCTGAGCCTCGAGCAGCACACAGGAAGCGGGTGCCCTCAGCCCCACCCGTGTGACGCTGCAGCAGGAGTCTCCTGTTCCCAGTGCACCCCCCCCCCATGTTACCTCCAGGGTCTGTTCTGTGCCAGGCCAGCTGGCTGGGGGAGGGGCTCGCCTCCCCAGAAGTGAGGGCGGGATGGCGAGGGGTGGTGCTGATCTCCCAGACCCACCTTGAACACCTGCTCCGTCTGATCGCCCATCCGCAACTTGTCCTGGATGTACACGTTCAGGTCCATGTCCGGGTCCTCGCCAGCTGTGCTCAGAAAGCCCAGCGTGACCTCCACGACCGACAGGGCTTCACAGGCGTCGCTGTAGGACAGCAGCTGCCCGCAGATGGCGCTGACGGCCGAGCGGGGGAGGGAGCTCTGGGGAATGAGAAGCGGCGCAGGGGTCCGTGGGCGGCTGTGCGTCCCGGCCTGGGGACACTGCTGACCCCCTTCGCTGCTGAGGCCACAGGCTGGGACGAGCCCTCCGACAGTTGCTTCCTAAGTGTCAGCCGATTCCCAGACACAGATGGGGCTCACCGGGCGCTCAGAGTGATGTGTGAGAATGTGCACTTGCACACATGCACACGGGCACACACACATGCACACATGCACACGGGCACACGCATGCACACGGGCACACACATGCACATGCACATGCACACGAGCACACACACATGCACACGGGCACACACAGATGCGCACACACAAGTTCATGCACACGCACGCACTCAATGCATGCACACACATGCACACATACTCAACAAGCACACACCACACGCACAAACTCTTTGGCCTTCTGCGTCAGGACACACGGCCATGACACCAGGACACGGCCCTGCCATCTGCCACCCTCCCCAAGAAAACGTGTGCCTCACGGTCCCGCTCACCCTCTGGAGGGAGCGGGGGGCTCAGGGAACTGAAACGCCTGGTGGAGGAGAAGCCTGTGCAGAGGGGAGGCCCCCAGAAGGCAGGTCGCCAGGCTGGGGGGCACTGCTCGCGCTCACCTGGGGCATTTTGTTCCTGATGCCCGCAAAGAGCTGCTCGTAGTTCCAGTCGCGCCTGTACACCAGCGTGGGGAGGCCCTTGAGGGTCAGCTTGGGCTTGCCCTGGAGGAACCGGCTGGTGATCTGGCGCTGGATCTGCTCCAGGTTGCATTCCTGCAGGTTCTCGCCGCCCTGCACCACCTGGTACTGGCAGTTGGAGAGGATCAGCGGAGTCACTGACGACACCTCGTAACCGATGACATACAGGTCGGTGACCTCGGAGGCATCCACGGAGTAGCTGCGGATGGAAAGCGCTCAGGCCCTGGCCCGGCGCCGTGGCCCAGGGCTCCGGATGCCGGGGCCTACGCGCTGTTCTCAGGGCCCGAGCGGACGCAACGACCCACAAGCCTGTGGACACGCGTGCGCGTGGCTGGACCAGCGCTTGCCCGAGGAGCTGACGTGGGGCCCGCGGGCCCTGGGTGGAGAGGGCAGCACCCGCCCCCGCAGGCTGCACCCTCACCTCTTGCTTTCCTCGGAGAACTTTTCCACCGTGTAGACCATGTCGTTGTGCAGGGCGATGAGGTAGCTGACCAAGGCGGTGGAGCAGAGGCCCCGGCCCTGGCGACGCGGCAGGATGACCTCGAAGTCCGCGTCCAGGTCCAGGTCGGCTCTGCAGTAGCCCTCAGGCAGCTTGATCTCACCTGAGAGGACAGGGCTCCTCCTCAGCAGCTGATCCGCGGCTTCCTGCCCAGCACGGGGCCCGGGAGGCCCCGGCAGTAGCAGCGGCCGGAAGCCTCAGCCCCACGGAGCTGGCCCAGGGCCTCTCTGAGGCCCTACCTCCGGCTCTATGTACCGCCCAGTCCCAGTGGTCTCAACTCCCTCTTTTAAAAAAAAAAATATATATATGTATGTGTGTGTGTGTATATATATACATGATTATATATATATGTATATTCATTGACTTCAGAGAGAGAGAGAGAGAGAGAAACATCAATGATGAGAGTCATGGACCGGCTGCCTCCTGCACGCCCCCCACTGGAGATTGAACCCATAACCCGGGCCTGTGCCCTGACCGGGAATCGAACCAGTGACCTCCTGGTTCATAGGGTGATGCTCAACCGCTGAGCCACACCGGCTGGGCTGAACTCCCTCCTGTTTCCACATGGACAAATCCAAGAGGACGGAGGGTGGGTTTTCTCAGCCGCCCACAGAGCAGAGTCAGCTGCCCGGGGATGGGGACTGGAGACGGGACATGGGGCGGTCCCCCTGCGCTGTTCCCTCACTCACCCTGGGTCTCCAGTGACCTCCTCAGCTTGTTCCACGTGGACAGAAACACGGTGACTCTGCGGCGGAACAGCTCCCGCAGCCCCTCTGTCAAACACGGGCCCACCCGTCCGGGTCAGGCCCGCGTGGCCACGCACTCTCTGTCCCAAAGCGCCCCAAATGCCCTGTGAGCACCGTGGCTGAGTTTGGGGAGCAGAGCAAGGCTATAGCACAGCCTCTGCCGTGTTCTGGGGTTCGTGGTCGCCCCGGCCTCATGAGAAAAGTGCCCGGTAGCCCCAAACTGCCCTCCCCGCAGCTGATCACCCCCAACTGACATGATCCTTGAGCCACCGAACAAGGCGTCCTGACCTCCTGGGACAGCAGAGTCCTACCTGAGCTGTGGCTGTTGATGAAGTCCCCGATGGACTGGTACGCAGCTTCGGGAACGTTCTGGAACCGAGTCACTAGATCCCTCTGCAGGGCCAGGATCTCGGGCAGGAACTTCACCAGCCTCAGCTCCGCTTCCTGGGGAGGGGGGAGACCGTCTGGTTACACCTCCCGTTTGCCAAGAAAGTGTCGCCGAGAAAACGGACCGCGCGGCGGGCTCAGGGCGTGCGTTCCTACTGTCGTCCAGCCAATGTGGCATTTTACACGTGACCCTTGGAAACAGGGAACAGGCTGCCCCACGCCGTGGGCAAGTAGCTCCCGGTGGCTCGCCACGTAGCCACACGTCCTACGCCCCACACGTCACTTCTCGCTCAGCTGCAAACACCGGTCCCTGGAGGGAAACGACTGGGCGACTGCCATAGAAAATGCAAGGCCGCCCGGCCGGCGTGGCTCGGGGGTTGAGCACTGGGCCGTGCACCCAGAGGTCACGGTTCCATTCCCGATCAGGGCACGGCCCGGCTCGCGGGCTCGATCCCCAGGAGGCAGCCGATCCGTGACTCTCTCACCATGGATGTTTCTCTCTCTCTCCCCCTCTCCCTTCCTCTCTCTGAAATCAATAAAAAATAAAAATAAATAAATGAACTTTCCTAAACTCTAAAAAAATTTAAAAATCCTTGGGTGAAGATTAACAAAAAAAAACAAAAAATGATCCAACCCTGAAGCAGGGTGTCAGCCGCCCGCCCGTGAGGACCAGGCTGGCTCCGCGCCGGGCCCCGGGGCCTACCTTCTGCAGGAACCTCCAGAGCAGGGGCACCGTTTCCTTGCCGTTTTTCTGCTCCACGACGTGCCGCAGGTGCTCCAGGGTGATCCGGGTCCGGCAGCTCCACATCCTGGAGCAATGAACCTTGCTGTCCCGGGGCAGCTGAGGCAGGAAGGCCGCCGGGTCCCCGAACACGATTCTGGCCACGGGGTTGGAGCTGACCCGCTCGTCGCGGCTGATGAGAGCGTTCACCTCCAGGAGGGTTTTATCCAGACGCTAGGCGAGGAAAGCGACATGGGGCGCAGGGCGTGAGGCACCGCCGGGAACAGCCGGGGACGCCTGGTGACGCGTCCCCCGGGCAAGCCAGGGCGTCTGACCCGCTTGTTCCACACACGATGGGACAGGCACGCTGGTGAACTTCCATGAGAACCCACACGCCCTGCGGGAAGGGGGCTCCCCGTCACTCGCTGACGTTCACCCCCGAGGGCCCCGTCCCCCCGGAGCAGCCCCGTCTGACGGGAGCCGCTAGCCTAGGGCCGCCAGGACATTTTCTGCGGGGCTGCGTGTGGTAGCTGATCTCTGCCTCTGGCCCTCACAACCCGCTGTAAAACGAGACGGACGGTAGACTGCGCCCCGCGCGTTCTGGACCCCCAGCCGCGTCTCCGCCTGACTCACCCGCGGGCCTCAGGAGGGCGGGCGGCCTGGGTCCGGCCCAGCTGGGTCCGAGCTTGGCCGCGGGCTGCAGCAGCCTTCCCCCAGGGGCGCCGGCCGAGCGCCCAGGCTGCCCGGGAAAGCCCCACCGAGCGTCCTCGGCGAGCGCGGCCGGTCGCCGTGACCCCTCCCCGCTTACCTCTAGCTGAGGCAACACGATCTTCTCCGTGACCTTTTCCCAGGAGTTTCTCTTTGCCTTGGTGGACAAGACTGCGTCGAAATCGAAAGGCCCTGCGGAGAAGAACGTGTGGGTTGCCCCAGGGACAGAACCCACCGCCGCCTAACGCGGCGAACGCTAAACACCGGCCGGCCTGAAATAGCGTCCCCTTTTTTCAGGGGGCAGGGGCGGATATCTGCGTATAAATTAAGCTGAGTATTTAGAAATGGCTCCCGCCCCGGCCCCAGTGCCTCGGTGGTTAGAGTGTCGGCTTGTGCACCGAAGGGTCTCGGGTTCGAATCCTGCTCAAGGGCACGGGCCTGGGCTGCAGGTTCCCCGCCCCGTTGAAGGCACGTGCGGGAGGCAACCAGTCGCTGTGTCGCTCCCTCGGGTGTTTCTCTCCCTCTCTCTGCTCCTCTCCCCCGCCCACTCTGTCTAAAGTCAATGGAAGAAATACCCTTGGGTAGAATGGACAAATATAAATCAGTAAGATAAATAAATAAACACGGCTCCTGCTGCTCCCGTCCCTGACTCTGGAGGCTACAAAGCCCCCCACATGCACCTGACGCCTGTGCCCAGGGGGAGCATGGACAGGGCAGAGCAGGGGCGTCCCTCCTGCCGCCAGCAGGCACGCTGCGTCCCGTCTGCCCACCGGGCGCCACACCCCAGGCACCCTTCCGTCTGCCCCGGGCCCTGCATTCTCGGCAGCTATGCTCCCGGGCCCCGGCGGGCACCCTCGCCCGGCCCCTTACCCCGGCCAGAGGGGCGGCACTGCCCCTCGAGCAGGCTGCGCAGGACGAGGTGGACCACGCTGGCCGTGTCGTCGGCGCTCTTGCCCAGAGTCTTCATCAGCTGCTCCAGGTCCCTCTGGATGTGCTGCTGCAGAAACGCCCCCGGGTCCGTCACGGGGGGCCTGATGATGCCAACCAGAGCCTGAGGCAGAGCCGGGGGACATCGTGTCAGAAAAGGCCCCGTGTGGGGAGGAGACGGGGGGGGGACACACACACGCCAGCCCTGAGTCAGAAACCAGCGACGTCAGCGGGTTCTCGCAGCGGAGGCGGGAAGGCGAGGAGCGGGCAGGGGCCCTGGGATCGCGGGAGGGGCACGGGGCTCCTCAGCGCTGGCCCAGTGGTTCAGTGACTCGGAGGAAACTCACGCTCCCCCTGCCCCCGAGCGGAGCCCCACACGGGAAGGCCACGACTGGGCCTGGCCGGTGCGGCTCAGCGGCTAGAGCGTCGGCCCGCAGACCGAAGGGTCCCGGGTTCGATTCCGGTCAATGGCACGGACCTGGGTGGCAAGTTCGATCCCCAGCCCCGGTCGGGGCGCGTGCGGGAGGCAACCGGTCGAGGCATCTCTCTCTCTCCCTNGGCCCGCAGACCGAAGGGTCCCGGGTTCGATTCCGGTCAATGGCACGGACCTGGGTGGCAAGTTCGATCCCCAGCCCCGGTCGGGGCGCGTGCGGGAGGCAACCGGTCGAGGCGTCTCTCTCTCCCCTTCCCTTCCTCCCGCCCTCTCTAAAAATATACCAGGGGGGAGAAAATATCCTTGCGCGAGGATGAATAAAAATTTAAACATAAGATAAAATTTAAAAAATGGACTTGAGGGTGTATAAACTTCGTCACCCGCTGGGCGAGGTAGCGGAGGCCAATCCAAAGCCCGAGGAGAGGCTAGGACCCCGTGACACGGCCACCGCCCACCGCGGGGGGGATGGGGCGCAGGGCTGGGCCGCCGGGCACGGTACCTGCGGGCTGTGGGCTGCTCCCAAAAGCATAGCCAGGTGAGTGAGCAGCCGGGCGAGCAGGAAGACCGCCGGGGACAGCTGCCGGTCCGACACCACCGCCTGGTCCCGGGGGGGCGGGCTCCCCAGCACGTGGCCGGTCTGAGTTCTATCCGTGATGTCTCTGGAGAGCGCAGAAGAGAAGGCGAGGGCTGAAGGTCACTCCTCTCGGGGCTGGGGCACGCCCAGATCCCTCCGGCCCGAGGCCAGGGGCACGTTTCGGGAGAAAATAACGCTGAAAGCACTTTTTCTGGGAAGCCCAGACCCTTCTCCTAAGGCCTCTCTCCTCCCAGAACCGCCTGCCTGGCCGACCGGAGCCCACAGCCCTCTCCGGGAGAAGCGGCCGAAGGAAGCGGCATTCGGTGCCGTCTGGACCTGCCTCTTCCACCGGAACCCGTGGGGACTGAAGGGGGGCTCAGGGCAGCCCGAGCCTGGGACGGCTGGCATCGACTGGGTGGGGACGCGGGCAGGTCGGTCTCCTTTTCCCAGACGGAAGGCTGGGACCCGAGGTTGGGCGGAGGCGTTCCGACCACGCCCGGAGGGCAGGGGCCGCGTGATAGGCATGTCCAGTTGCAGAAATACGGGGTGTCCCGTCCCCCAAAAATGTCTACACATTTTGACCGCTGAGAGTTCAAATGAGGTTTCTTTCTTTTCAGACTCAACACGTTGGAATTAATAATTACATGTGTATACGTCTTTTTGGGACACCCTGTGTGGGTGGGCCCAGGACACGCTGGTGGTTTAGGGAGACGACAGGTGGGACTGTTCTGATCTGTGGCCAGGCTGTCTGACGGCCGCGGAAAGGCCCGGCCCCGCCTCCAGGCAGCGCCCCTTCCTGTCCTCGGAGGGGAGCGGGCCACGGGGAGGACGCCTGCATTAACAAGCACTCACATTCCTACGTGCTCTGTGTGGCCCTGGCCCGGGTGGCTCAGTGGTTAGGGCATCTGGGCCCCCCCCCCACCCCCAAGGGTCTCGGGTTCGATTCCTGATCAAGGGAACGTATCTGGGCTGCAGGTTCGATCCCCGGCCCCGGCTGGGGCATGCGAGGGAGGCAACCAGCCGATGTGTCTCTCTCATATCGATGTTTCTCTCTCTCTTCCTCCCTCCCACTCTCTCTAAAAACGATGGGAAGATATCCTCGGGTGAAGACAAAAAAAACAAAACAGAAATAAGTGCTAATACGTCTTCTGCCTGCATTTAGGAGCCCAGCGAACCAATGACAGACCCACCCCCGTGGCCGTGGTTTGACCACAGGGGCCGCGGCCTGACACCCGGCCTGTCACCGGTCCAAGTGCATCTCCGTAGTGACACCACGCTTAGTGCCAGTTTACCATCTAGAATGGAGACGGCCCGTGCCCAGGATCTGACCCGCGAGAGGGAGGCAGTCTTACGTACTGGACGGCGGTGAATCCTGTGTTGGGCCTGTGATTCATCCCTCCGACGGGCAGGCCGCAGTCGATGCACACGCTCTGCTCCATGGGCTGGCCGCACTGTGGGGAGGCGGGGGCCACGGAGGTGGGGCCGGCTCAGCACGGGGCAGGGCTGCCCCCGAGTGCCCACCGGCACACGTACTTGGGGGGCAGTGCACGTGTTCCATGCAGATTATGTTCAACGTGGGCACATTTGGACTTTCCCTCCCTAACAGAATAATGAAAGCGCCTAGCCGGTCTTCCCTCCCGGGCTGCGTCTCTTTCCGCACCACCCCCCCAAATGCCAGTCTCAGGGCTTCGTTTTCTGACACCAGGAACACAGCATCTCCTCAACCCCATCAGGGAAATATCTTGTTCCACAAAGTGTAACCGTAGGCCCGGCCGGTGCGGCTCAGCGGTCGAGCACGGCCCTATGAGCCGGGAGACTGCGGCTCGATGCCCGGGCAGGGCACAGGCCCGGGTCCAGGCTCGACCCCCAGTGGGGGCCGAGCGGGAGGCAGCCGATGAACGACTCTCAGCATTGACGTTCCTCTCTCCCTCCCTCTCCCGTCCTCTCCGACGTCAGTAAAGACGTCTATATGTCAACAAAGACGCGTGTGCGAAGCTGAGGCCGAGAGGATGGCCGAACGCCCCGAGCTCCGTGGAGAGGCTTAGCTGGAAGACTCTGAACAGCCCTCAGGGCCTGTGTTGTCCCGGAAGGTCAGCACCTGCATCTCCCTCCCTCCATGCCCCCCGCAGACCCGAAGGAACACACACCTGAGCCCCCCAAACACCAAGACTCACCTCTCCCACGGAACACAGGTGACCTTGGGGACACGCTGTTGAAAGAACAGGGCACATGTGAGCTGGTGGGGTGTCACCTGACGACCCGCCCGCGGTGCCGAGGGAGAGCGAGCGGTCTCCTCTCCGGCCTCGCCGCGCAGGACGCAGGGCAGGCGTCCCGGGCGCGAGTGGGACAGTGTCTCTGAGCTGAATTCTAAGGAGCCGGGGACACCGGCTTCCACACCCGGCCAGGGCTGCTCTGGGCGGCAGGGGGACGGGCTTTTACTCTGTTCTTGAGGATTCTGTTTTTTGCCACGAGTACGTTTTATAACAGCTTTTGAAGCTAGTTTAAAAGGATCGTTTCCTCGGTCACCAGCAGGACTGACATAAAGCCAGGGCTACACGGTTCTGTGTCCCAGCGTCATTTTCCTGAAAGGACTGTGTTTGGGTCAAGCGCTGTGCTCGGCCGAGCCTCGGGCGGGGTTCCCAGGCCCCCTGCTTCCAGGGGAGGGAAGCACGTCCCGCAGGCCTCCCTGAGACCAGGAAGGACGGGACGAGGGTCACCCATGTCCTGCCGCAGCACCCACGGCGCCGGCCGCAACGGGCCCTGCTCTACGCCGACGGCGCATGTGGCGCTGGGAAGTTTGTCGAAACTCAGGACCGTGACCGTCCCAGACGCCAACACTTACTGTACCAGCGGACTTGGGTCAGCCCCTCCCACTGTGTGGCTTGAGCCAGCAGGTCCTCGGGCATCGTCGGGAGATACGCCATCTGAAAAAATACGAGAGAGCAGCGTTCGCTTCAGCGGCGCAGGCAGGAGACAGCAAGGGCGGGAACACCCGGTTTCCTTTCCGCTTGACCTCAGGAGCTGCCTGTGAAGGAAACGCCACAGCCGGGCCGGGCCGGCGTGGCTCCGCGCTGGAGCGTCGGCCCAGGAACCGAGAGGTCGCTGGTTCGATTCCCGGTCAGGGCCCAGGCCCGGGCTGCGGGCTCGATGCCCAGCAGGGGCGGGCAGGAGGCGGCCGATCGATGGCTCTCTCTCCACATTAATGTTTCTCTCTCTGTCTCCCTCTCTCTCTAAAAAATCAATAAAAACATACTTTTTTTTTAAAAGAAAGAAAGAAAATATAACAGCTCTCTGGAGACTCAGGGGGCGAGGGAAGGTTCTCTCCATCGCTGCGGACTAGGGATCGGCTGCGACAGAGGCCGACGGCCTGGAGAGCGTGAACAGGTCAGCGGAGGCCCCGCACAGGCTGGGGGTCTGCGTGACACCCCGCCACGTGGCCACCGCGCAGCCGGCGGGCTCGGGGGGCTCTTACCGCCATGGTGCCTGGGGAGAAGGCCAAGTTCCTCAGGGGCTCCAGGACGCGGTCCTGTCCGCAGAGGAGAACGGTCGCAGCGTGAACGGCCATTTCCGCCACGGTGTCATCGAGGCGGCCGTCCCGGGGGCCCTCCATCCTCAGCAGGGGCAGGGCGTTGGTCACGAGGGACAGCGCAAAATCTCTCGCGTCAGCGGGCAGGGCCTGGCTCTCTTCAACGAACTTGCTCAGGGCCTCGCGTCCCTGACGGGAGAACGTGGTTCAGCGTCGAAACGTGAGGGAGACGGCGCCGTGCTTTTGGGTCAGCCGCGCGTCCTGACACCAAACACCCGTCGAACATCACGGGAAACGGGGCTGAGCCGCTGCCGGGGGAGGGGCCCGTCCGGGCAGGAGCGGGTCCCTGTGCAGACCGCACCCCAGGCCCCCGCACGCGTTCCGATGTTCCGCTCTGGCCAATAAATGGGATCTTACGGCCCCGACTTCTGTTTTAACTATAGTTCTAGAAGCTTTGGGTAACACAGAAAGCAGCCCCTCCACGTGAGACGGGTGAAAACCTCCTTCCCGGAAAGTCCACGGCCCCGGAGGCCGGCACTCACCTCCGGCTTGGGGTGCAGGCGGGCGCTGCGGGCCCTGTACAGGGTGGAGACCTCTCGGAAAAGCGCCAGCAGGAGGTACACAGCCCGCTGAGCCCGGGAGCCGCCGCAGGCCTGGGAGAGCAAGGACAGCAAGAGGGGCTCGGCCGTGTGGTCCAGCGCTACCCACGGGCTCCCAAACCGTGANCCCGCTGAGCCCGGGAGCCGCCGCAGGCCTGGGAGAGCAAGGACAGCAAGAGGGGCTCGGCCGTGTGGTCCAGCGCTACCCACGGGGGGAAGACTTTTCCGAGACCCTGCGCCCTGCACCCGCGGGCAACGGCTCTGAGACTGCGAAGTTCATAGAGCAGTCACTGAACTCAGGGCGCAGGCACCGGGAGTCTCGTGACAGAGCAACAGATCCCCGTCTGTCCCCTTTCTGATGGCGTCACTGGTCCCCGAAATGCTTCCTGGGCACAGGAAAGGTTCCCTCTTTCCCTGGCACAGCGTCAGGGTAAACGGGACTCGAGAAGGAAGCCAGGTCGGAACACGTTAAAGATGAGGCTCTAGGCCTGCCCGGAAGCTCAGTGGTTAGAGCTTCGGCCTGTGGACCAAAGGGTCGCGGGTTTGATTCCTGGTCCCAGCCGGGGCGAGTGTGGGAGGCAACCCGTCGATCTCACCTATCTATCTATATCTATCTATCTATCTATCTATCTATCTATCTATCTATCTATCTATCTATATCTATCTATCTATCTATCTATCTATCTATCCATCCATCCATCCATCCATCCATCCCTCTCTCCCCCCCTTACACTCTCTCTAAAAGTCAATGGAAAAAACACCCTCAGGTGAGGAGTAACAACAACAGAAGTGAGGTTCTCAAAACCTTGCATCTTTCTCAAAACGGGCACACACAGGGTCACGCGCACTCGTGACCAGCACACACAGGACTGTGGCGCCGTGCCCGCGCGTGTCCCATCAGAGCGATCTTGGAGGACGTGATCCGAGGGGACTAGGGGACGTGACGAACGCAGACACATCAGAGCACCCGACGACACGGATGGCCTCGGCGGGTCCGTGAGGCCGAGCAGGTCTGTGCACCCAGCTTGACGACGGCCACTGTCCTGGTTGGCCGGGTGGGCCATGGAGGCCACAGGCCTGTGACTCCCAGAGTGGCTGCCACCCTCTGGGCACCTTCCACAGCGTCATCTGACATAACCGGGGAAAGAGCACGTTCTGAGGGGCCCCACTCTGTGCGGAGGAGCCTGGACCTGTCCTACCTCCAGGGCGGCCGCGATGGCCTCGGGCCTGCACTCCAGGACGGCTCTGCCCACCGTGTCCCGGACAGCCTTGTACTCCGGTCCGTGCACCAGGTAGCGATCCATCTGGCTGGGCTGGGCCTCCTGCAACCCCAGGAACACAGGGTTCATAACAGCGGGGACCGTGGGGGATGTTTAGCAAGGAACCGGGTAACCATTGGAGGTTTGACGTGGGGGATGTTTAGCAAGGAACCGGGTAACCATTGGAGGTTTGACGGCCTGGAACTGGGGTCCCGGTTGGCCTGAGGCAGGGCGAGGCCGGGGGGTGGGCGGAGGGCGGGGAGGCGAGGCAGCCTCGCAGCGGCGGCCTGTCTCACTCGCAGGCGCTCCGGAGCCCAGGGGACGTCACTATGTCAATCTAAGCTCCAGGTGGCAGTAAAAACAGCCAGGGTTGCCTGGCCTACGTGCTCAGTGGTTGAGCATCGACCCAGGAACCAGGAGGTCACGGTTCGATTCCCGGTCAGGGCACATGCCCGGGCTGAGGGCTCGATCCCCAGTCGGGGGCCCCCGGCTGCAGGAGGCGGCCGATCCGTGATACTCTCATCTCGATGTTTCTCTCTCTCTCCCCCTCTCTCTTCCTGTCTCTCTAAAATCAATAAAAACAAAATTTGAAAAACAGCCAGGGTTCATAGTGCCATTTCTATAACCCGGGACAGTAAGAACGTTTTCACTTCTGCGCGCGAGGAGAGGTCCACTGAGAGGCCTGGAGGAAAAATGACTCCCGGTGCCCCCATCTCCGCCTGCCGAGGACAGCAAGGCCTGGCCCGCGAGCCGAGGCCCTTCCACTGCGTGGAAAGCACAGCCACGGAGCCTTTCCTTGCTTCCTCTGTGTCCAACTCCATCAGGAGTGATGCCAACGCCGGCTTGGCAGGGGCACGAGGGCAGCAGCCCGAACACGCACACGCCCTTTCCCTACGGCGGGCGGGCGGGCAGGCGGCTCCAGGTC